GAGCACTTGATTTTTCCTTCCAATCTGTTTTCTACATTAATTTATTTAAAATTAATATAATTAGGTTTCTTGCTTTTGGTCAATTAACATTACAGTCTGAGCATTTTCCAAGATTACTAAATATTTTTATTGTATTTATTTATTTTTAATATATATTTTTATTGATTTCAGAGAGAAGGGAGAGGGAGAGAGAGAGAGACAGAAACATCAATGATGACAGAGAATCATTGATCGGCTGCTTCCTGCATGCCCCACACTGGGGATCGAACCCATAACCTAGGCATGTGCTTTTGACTGGAATTGAACCCAGGACCCTTCAGTCCGCAGGCCAACACTCTATCCACTGAGCCAAACCAGCTAGGGCAAGATTACTAAATATTTTTAAAACGTAAGTTTTACTTGCTTTTTTAGTTATAGTTCAGAGCATTTCCATTTTCCAGGAAATTGAGTGTAACTTTTTCATCTTCTGTTTAAAATGTGTTCTCAAGTTATCCAATTGTAAACAGTAATATTGGGAATTTTTCAAAATAATATTCTGCACATTGGAAAGAATCTATTCAATCTATGCCCCCTAGAATTTGGAATGGCAAAGCAAGAGAACACTAGATGAAGATATACATGTACTTTAAAAGTCATTTTTCAAAAATGTAGGAAAAAATTTTAGAAAAAATATCAGTAAAATCTTAGATCTTAGAGTATGTGAGTGCATTTCTATGAGACATGATCTGTATATTGCATTGTATACACATTTGAGACCCATATGATCTTACTAACCAATTTTACCCCAATAAATTTAACTTAAATTTTCTTTAAATATATGTCAAGACTTAGCCAAATTATACCCACAATACTAAAAAAAGCATATTGAGCTCTAGCTGGTTTGCTCAGTGGATAGAACTTTGAGCCGTGGACTGAAGGGTCCTGGGTTCGATTACAGACAAGGATACATACCTCGGTTGCAGGATCCCTGGTCCCCTATTGGGGCTCATGTAGGAGGCAACCAGTTCCTGTGTCTCTCTCACATTGATGTTTCTCTCTCACTGCCTCTCCCCTTCCCTTCCACTTTCTCTCAAAATGAATGGGGAAGTATCCTCAGGTGAGGATGAACCAAAACCAAAATAAAACAAGCAAACAAAAGCATGTCAGTGTAGTTGTAGAAATATGAGGCCGAAACCGGTTTGGCTCAGTGGATAGAGCGTCGGCTTGCGGACTGAAAGGTCCCAGGTTCGATTCTGGTCAAGGGCATGTACCTGGGTTGCGGGCACATCCCCAGTAGGGGATGTGCAGGAGGCAGCTGATCGATGTTTCTCTCTCATCGATGTTTCTAACTCTCTATCTCTCTCCTTTCCTCTCTGTAAAAAATCAATAAAATATATTTTTAAAAAAAAAGAAAAATGAGAATAATATTTTTATTGGTATAATTGGGAAATACCAAAGTTTCAAGATACACAGTTGTCCCATTTTTAAGGGAAACTTAATTTCCCAAAACTAAAAGTCTGTAAGCTAAACATCAATACCCGTAAATATTCCAAAATGTATTATTGATGAAAATCTGCATGGATTCATTCAGAAATAAATCTATAAACAACTGTGAATAGATTCTTCTATTAGTCCTTATTTTCATCATTGTTATCATGTCTTAAATTATACAATTACATACTTAGAAAAGCTCAAAGGGTTAGCTACTTCAATGGATAATATTAAAAAATATCCTGAAAAGATAGAACAATGGACCTAAATAAAAGTGAGGACCTTTAACTGTGATCAGTGTAAAAGCCTGTATATAGATACAAAAAATCAGTAAATATAATCCATAGTAGATAGACACCTGATGTACCAGTAGTTCTTATAAAAAAAACAATAATACTTTGTATGTTAACCATGTACAAATTCAACATGCATAAAAATATAATGTGAATGACCAAAAATAAAGATAATTCAAGAATTTTATAATAATGTTAATGGAAGTACTACTCCAGTCATGGGTAATAATTATTTCAAAACTTTAAATCACACCAAACAAATATATAGTGCTGGGGATAAAAATAAATAAATAAAACAAAATTACCTATGACACTATCTCTTTTTTAGGAGTTCACAGTTGAAGTAGGGAAACAGACAAAGAAATATATTTGGAGTATTGTTTTCAACGCTTGTCACTTTATTTTGGAAGATGCCATCATTATTTAGCATTAAAAATAATGTATTATAATATGCCAGGTCCTGTCTCTGAGAAAACCAAATTAGTATCCTCATTTCATGAATGGAACCACTAGATTGAGGTCTAAAAAACAAACAAACAGAAAAACAGCAACAAAAACCTCACAGAAAAATATCTAGAAAGTGTTAAAACAGATAAAGGAGCATAGAACTTTCTGACTTGGAATTATTGCTCTTAAAATAACATTGCATATGGATCAGTATTTGTTATTTTTTTGCATAATATATTTTTCACATTTTTATTACAGTATACCCTGCTGAATCAATATTTCATAGGATATTAAATATTTCACACCCAAAGAAAAAGTTTCTGCAGCCAAATAATTTTGAGCAAGACTAGGTTTCTTTATTATAAAGCCTTTCCAAGACTTTAAAATTCTGATATGCATTATGACTCCTAGATGGTGGTCTAACAGATTTTTCTCAAATGCATTTGATCTCAGACTCTTTATTTTTTTTCACTGATTTTTGTGAGGGGCTTGTGTTCCATGAAACAGCCATTGGGAAACTCTGGCACTCCCGAAGACCAAGAAAAATCTCAATGTCAGGAATTGGAAATCCTATATAATAAAAGCCTAATATGCTAAGCATCCAACCATTCCTTCAACCGTTCGACCAGTTGCTATGATGAGAACTGACCACCAGGGGCTGATGCTTCGACTGGTAGGTTAGCTTGCTGCTGGGGTCTGGCCGATCGGACTCAGCAAGTCAGGCCAGACATGACCTGGAACCCTCCTGCGGTCCCTCCCTGGCCCCGATCATGCACAGGTGGGATCCCTCAGCCTAGCCTACACCCTCCAGTGATGTCAGAGAGCCAATTTCAGCATGATCCCCACAGGCCAGGCCAAGGGACCCCGCCAGTGCACAAATCTGTGCACCAGTCCTCTACTATTCAATGAGGAGACAAAGGGGCCTTAAAAGAGACATGATACCTGTCTTTAAATCTTTGTCTTATTTAAAAAAAGTACATAGTATTTCACCAAAGGGAAGATCTATATCTAACGAATAGAAGCTACCAGAAATGGATTTCACCTCAAATAACATTTCAATAAGTTAAAAGAGAATGTAAAAGCTGTCCAACAAAGGTGGCAAATCACCTGTAAAAGGTGTTACTAAGCAATTTTATCATTGTGTGAAAGGTTTGAAACCTCTGCTAAGCTCCGTGTTTTACTCTTTTATTTGATGCTTCATTTGCAGTAATTATCAACTGAGATGTCCATACATTTAGTATTTCAGATTTTCTATTCACATTTTTGTACCATTTTGAGTTAAACATTTTAGAAACAGAAGCCATAGGGAAACTGTCAGACCTATTGTAAATACGATGCCTTACATCAACACGCAAACAACGTTCTACAGATTTTCCAGTTCTTTGTTATTCATTCTAGGAAGGTTATATCTTTCTAAGAATTTGTTCATTTCTTCTAGGTTATTAAATGTGGTGGCATATAGTCTTCCATAGTACTCTTGTATGCTCCTTTGTATTTCTGTGGTGTCAGTTATAACTTTTCTGCTTTTGTTTTGATTTTGTTTGTTTGAGTCTTTACTCTTTTTTTCATTGGTGAGTCTAGGGAGAACTTTGTCAATTTTATTAATTTTTTCAAAGAACCAGCTCTTTGTTATATTATTTTTTGTATTGTCTTTTTGTTCTCTGTTTTATTTAATTCTGTTCTAATTCTTATTATCTTCTTCCTTCTACTGAAGTTGGGCTGCATTTGCTCTACTTGAGATAGGCTATAATAATATAAGCTTTCTTCTTATTACTGCTTCTGCTGCATCCCAAAAGTTTGGTATATTGTATTATCATCATCCTTATTTGTCTCTGTGTATCTTTTGATCTCTTCTTTTATTTCTTCTTTGACCCAAAGCAATTAATTTTTTTTTTAAAAAAAAGACATGTCCAGCTGGCATTGCTCAGTGCTTGAGCATTGACCTATGAACAAGGAGGTCACAGTTTGACTCTTGGTAAGGGCACATGCCTGTTGTGGGCTTAGTTCCCAGTGAGGGGCACGCAGGAGGCAGCTGATCAATGATTCTCTCTCATCATTGATGTTTCTATCTCTTTCTCCCTCTCCCTTACTTTCTGAAATCAATAAAATAAAAAATTCAAATGTAAAATGTTTTAAGAAAAGAGAGAAAATAAGATGAACAAACAACAACTCAGAAACACAGACAACAATATGGTATTACTATAGGGATAAGGGGCTGTGGAGAAGGTAGCAAAAGATCAAAAGGGTCAAATATATGATGACAGACAGAGATTTGACTTTGGGTGGTAACCACACAATGCAATATGCAGACAATGTATTATAGAATTGTATACTTGACACCTCCATAATGTTATTGACTAATGACACCCCAATAAATTTAATTTAAAAATACACATAAGGACACATACGATTTACACTTATTGCCAAAGAAAACCAGTCACTCTTCTTTAATTTAAAAAACACACCAAGTGATTTAGATCATTATATTATGAATTCATGTGCAGAATAAAATGGAAGTTTTCTCCTTTATAAAATGACACAAGAGGCCTCGAAAACACATGCGGGGATGCACAAGACCATGTGACACACAGAGATGGATGCCAGGAGTAGGGAAAAGCAGTGGAAGGTAGAAGACACATTTCAGATCAATTACTCTTGATATGTCTGGGCCCCGTGTTCCATGCCATTACACCCAAAGAAAACATGACTTGATAGATCACATGCATTATCAATGGATTTTACTCCAATTCACATTTGTTTGCTAAAACAAGTTAAATATAAAGCCCATACCTATTTGCATATTCCTTGATGATCTGATATATGCTAATCTTAATTGTTTCATTTTCAAATCGATTGTTGCTCCGGTCCTTGTATATTCGAAATTCAGCCGCTGTAACTGCTTCTCCATGAGGAATTTGAGTCAGATCAAACCGGAATTCTTTGTAATGCCTTCGCTGGTGAGAAAAATCCTTGTCCCTTTCAACTAGAAAAGAAAAAAAGAAGAGAGAAAATGAGCTTTTTATAAAATATGAAAATCAATGATAAATTCTCCAGCTTTGTAATTAAGGCAAACAAGCAGGATATTCTAAAACTGGGAAAACACTAAAACCACAGACTCATACGTGTTTCCAGTTGAAGGAAACTGCACAAACCAACAACAACCTTCGGTTCAAAAGCAATATAACCTCTGTGGTTTTATTACAAATTCCTGGATCTTAAATGGGAAGGCTATCCCAAAATGTTCCTTAAAAGTGAAGGTTGAAAAATTATTCCTAGTATGTATCCAGCACCAGAACACAGAGGGTTCATACAGGAATTAGGAATACGTTATAGAACTTTCCAGAGCCCCAGGTGAAGTCGTTGGTGAGATTTAGCACAGCCAAGGGAGGAGACGAAGAAGAAAGACTGAGAAACTGCAGGCACATAAGGACAGTGTTTATGACATGTTAGAGATCAAGTACATACAGCAAATTCATTTTCAGAATAAAGATTATTTCTAAAATGTCTCCCCCAAAAGAGTTTTTATCCTCCTTTCAGCAAAAGAAATGTCTTGTTGTTGTTTTTAATATACTTTCATTAGTTCTTATAGATTGTTTAATACAATCTCCGTACCTGGGGTACAGCATACAAGCTCTCAAAGACCTCTTTCTGCTCTTCCTCAGAATTGAGAGGGGAATATATTTCCCCCTTCAGCAATCTTCCAATAAATAAAGTCAGAGAACGTTACCTCTTGGGCATATTAAGGGATGTTGAAGAATTCAGCAGAGCAGGTGTCCAGCATATTATTAATTTGGCTTTGTAAAATACTTTATTATTTGATACACTCTATATGTACTGGGTACCAAAAACTTTCTTACAAAATACCTATTCGAAGGGTTCATTTTTTGCGATGCAATATCATTTGATGGTTTCTCGGTATTACTAAGTTTCTCAAAAACTCAGTTACGTAGGCTAATTTACAACAGGATCACTGAAAAGCACTGTATGCAAGGTGTCTCACTTTTACAGCTTTCTAGTGGTATGTTTCATTGCTAACTTTTGTTTCAAGAAAATAAAAAAAAATGTATAAGTTGTATAAATAAATTCACCAAGTTCTTGGAGTAAGATACAAAAATATATTTAGGGGTTTAATTGAAATTATGTCAACACTGCTATATATATCAAAAACTTGGGGTCCAAAAAGAGAAAAGGGTTAAGATTAAGGAAAAGAGAAGAGGGTCATGACCATCCAGGAATGACTGTGGGAGAGGAGGCTGCTAGACCTGTGTTCTAGGGCCAGATGGGTTCCACATCTGAGAGGAAGTTTATGACAAAGGCACCCTAAATTCCTCAGCTTCATCATCCAAAACAATCTCCGGTTTACTTTCCCCAGAAGTGCAGGCAGTGGTTTAGGAGAATGCAGAGCTCATCCCCAGCCCCACCGCAGACACCTATGCCAGCAAAGAGAAGACTATAGACTATACCTGGAGGCATTTTTGTCCTATGGAGTTTGGCAAGGATGGTGCTCTTGGGCTGTCGGACTGCACTAACGCAACCTCACATGACTCATGAAGTTTTGTTTTTTAAAAATATCATTATCTTGCTGAAACCAGTTTGGCTCAGTGGATAGAGCGTCGGCTTGCGGACTGAAAGGTCCCAGGTTCGATTCCGGTCAAGGGTATGTTACCTTGGTTGCGGGCACATTCCCAGTAGGAGATGTGCAGGAGGCAGCTGATTGATGTCTCTCTCATCAATGTTTCTAGCTCTCTATCTCTCTCCCTTCCTCTCTGTAAAAAATCAATAAAATATATTAAAAAAATATCATTATCTTGGTCCTAAGAGAGATCCATTGCCAGGGAGATTATTTATCAACTTTTCCTTAAATAAGGAAGATAACCTCACTTTTAGAATCCTATTTTGATCCATAATTTAAACCTCTTTTCGGTGGCGATAATGGAGACTGCCATGAACTTGGCTTCTTCGTTTCCATTTGTCCATTCTCCTGATTGAGCCATTTGAGAGGGAAAGTGCAAGGGCAGAAAATACCTAGAAACTCGATATCTAGTCACTGAAAGTGCATGCGTGAATATTAAAACTAGCCACAACTTTTGTTCTCAGAGAACTTTAATTTAATTCTATGTAAATTGAATGTAATTCTTTTTAAACCTGTTCTTCTCTGATCTTAATTTAAACAAAGTGGGAGACATTATGAAACAGTTCTGTCTTATATGAAACAGCTTTAAAGAGCACTGCTCTAATTATTTTTAAATTTTATCATACTTCATGACAATCTATGAGGTGGGTTCCATCATTATCCTCATTTGAGGCATAGGGAATAAATTCCTCACCAAAAAGCTTGAACCTAAGCATTGGATGCCACCTGGGTATGGTTCTTAAATGCCAAATATACTGCTTCTGCATATAGACTATTTATTACTTTGTCCTAATTTATGAAGTATTTATGCTTTAATAAAAATCTAAAACCTCACATTCACAAGTTCAAAATCCAAAAAGCTCTGAAAACAAAAAGTTTGGCTTCAAGTTCATTTGGCAGAAGAGCTGGAAATTAACTGATTTGAGGTCATTTAAAGTTTCTATTTATTCCACTTTAATATGAATATTTATTGCTTTGCCGCAGAAATGTTCATTTGTTCGACGAGGTGGCACTACCCCAGCTCTACTTCAAGAGTCCCATACTTTGTGATCCATACACCAACCAGCCATTCAAAAATGTGTCTTCTCTATTTGGAAAGTCAATATTCAACATTCCAAGGTGTAACAATCATCATCCAATTTTTACTAGCAACCATTCTACATTTGAAATTAGGACCAAAATAACTACAGTCCTAGAAATAAGGGCTGCGGTGTGAGTTTGCTAGGATCCAATCTACAGCACGCACCTGGATAATGCAGATGAGTTTTGAATTCATATTATGTAAAGTCATCTACTGTTCTGGAATCCCCTGTGAGATGTTAGTGTAATAAAGTGGAAAGCTAGAATTTCAGCTGTTATTATAAAATTTCAGTTTTATAATCCAGGCTATTTAACCTAACCCCTTAAGGGGGTGGGGAGGGGCAAATATTCAAAGAGTTTCATAAAAATTTATATTAAGTATACCACACAGAATACAGATTTGTCCACTGACTCAAAATCCTGCATCCTACTGCTTTGAATTGTAATTTCACTCTTAAATTTCATGGGACATGTTGGAGTGAGTAATGGAATGAAACTTGTTTTTCTATAGCATTGCACTCCTAATGATGCTCACAAATATTCACAAGGTAATCTCAGTTACCTCAAAGAGTAATGCTAGGGAGGATCAAATATTAACATCCCTGATTTAAGGATGAGAAGTTGGGTGATGACAGCTAGGTGGTAACAGATGTCTGTCTTCTAATGCTCATTATAAATCTTTGTTCAATGTCCATACCACCTACATAATGACATCCTGCTGTTCTGTACTTAGAAACTAGTTCATTGTTAGTATATTGAAGCAATGTTTCTCAGTAGTAGACCAAAAAAAGTGGCAAATAGTATGGAAAATCAGGGGTTTGATCATCAGTATGAAATTAACATCCAACACAATACATTGCCTAATTCAAAGATGCCTTCTAATAAATGCTGGTTGAATGAAAAACTGTATAAATGGATCAAAATCAGGTTCTATCTTTTTAATTGGTTTTTAGAGAGAGAGGAAGGGAGAGGAATAGATAAAATAAACATTGAGGAGAGATACATCATCGATTGGCTGCCTCCTGCATGTCCCCTTCTGGGGGCAACCCAGGCATGTACCTTTACCAGGAATCGAACCTCCATCTCTTGGTTCCTGGGTTTATGTTTAACCACTTAACCACACAAGCTGGGCAGGTTCTATCTTTTGAGGCAGCACAATCTTTGCTGCATTCCCAATTGACTAAAGGCATCATAACTTATTTAACTCTCATTTATTTGGCACATACTTTGTTTAATCTGTACAACCGTACTTATGTCCAAAAGTTTCTATAACATGCCCAAGAAACCACTATGTATAATTTGATCTGAAAACAGATTAGATTCCAGGGTCAAGATTTTAATTCCCAAGTCCTCAACATCACAGCACACGTTGCTTGTTTGTTATTCCTGGATTAGTTTTGTTTGTTTGTTTGTTTGATCTAATTCTCACTCAGGAGAGCTGGTCTTCTTCCAATACTTTCATTCTCTATAGGAGCTCTGCTCATTTCTGAACTCTGCTCAGTCTTCTGGAACTCACACCTTCCAATCAGTCTTAGCAAATGCTGTGTTATATTCACTTATTCAATATTGATTCTATATCTTATCTAAGAAAATGTTTATGAATAAAAAATGGTTGGATTCATAACTTGAATTAGTGTTATCTAATATTTATATGAGTGTGTGAGGTCATTCTTTTACTACAACCATATTTTAAAATAATTGTGATTCACCATCTGGATCCCTTCATACTGGAAGCTTTTTCCTACAATACCCACTACCAAAAACAACACTCCTAAAGCAGATGAAAAAAAATGTACACACACATTTTATATTCTAAATGTAAACTTTTTACATAAGATAGTCATGCCTTGTTTATATTATAATGATTTTGGTCAATATTAAGTATTCTGTTTCTATGTGTATTACAATGTGCTATAACCCATTGTAAATGGCTTGGGAAGCTTAAAAGGCAAACAAGAAGAAAAAAAATTAAATGTGTACTATTCTTGTTGTTGTTTTTTTTTAATTCCTATTGCATTAATTAAATATTAGGCCCTTTCAATTCACTCTGTAATTTACATGTTATAGCAACTAAATACCATGAGGTTTCTAAAATAAATCTTTACTATAATTTCTATTAAAATGCTAGATTGAAATATTCACGATCCCATGGAAATCATAATTGAGTTACTATTTCATGGTAGAAAATACACTCTTAATTACTGGACAAAACAATGAGAAACAAATAAAACAAAAGAAAATAGCAAGAGGGTTAGCTCCCTCCAGTAGGA